ATTTCCTGCTTCCTAGCTAATCTAAATCTCCCAGCACAGCAGAACAGCTGATGGTCAGAAAACGGAAAAATAGCAATTTAGCAGGCAAATTTGCCTGGTAAGGAGTGAGTGGGTGGGGAGAGTTCCCGCGGGTGGGCACAGCCTTGTGTTTCTACACAGCCTGGATTAATTGCTTTGGGCGGGGGGGTGCTTTGGGGGTGAGATTTCTCTGTGGACCACCAAAAATTTCTTGTGGCCCAGCAGGTTGAGATGACATTGATAGTGCTCTACCTGATAAGATGTCTATAACAATAATTTTATTACATAGTACAAAATGTACAGTAAAAATTAACATAAACCTTATAAAATGGTTATAGGGCAATTGACTTAATATACATGAAACTCTTCAGTCAACTTCAAGGGCTAATTAAAAACAAAAATGACTCAGAGCAGCATTTCCAAAACTGATGTACTGCAGATACTTCAGGGAGGTCATTAGCCATGCTGGCTGGCAATACTGGTAACTATAATCCAAATACAACTGAAGGGCAACAGATTAGGGCAGCCTTAACTTCAAGAGATGCTCTCCTTTTCCTTAGTAGGTTTTCAGAATTTCTTATGCTTACTCATTCACACCTACCTTCCCCTGTTAAAGAAGACCTGAGGTTATATTTTAACCATGTTTGCAGGTGCCACTCTAGATGCTCCTTCAACATGGAGAGTTGGAATGGAGAAGACAAGCCTGAAGGCTTATCCTTACCTTCCCACCACACTCAACAAGGTATAACACTTGAAAAGCATCTGCATCATTCTCTTAATGTGTTACATGAGGATCAAACTGCCTAGTGGCAGAGCAGATATGAATTCACCAGAGTCAGATGTGGCCACCAGCCAGAAGAACAACAAGGGAAACAAGTGGAAGGAAGGGTTGCCAGCTGCTGCCTTGCTATACGGTCCACAATATGCATCCACAGCACATCTGCTGTGCATTTCTAGAATCGCCAAATTGTTTGTTCAGCAGTGTGTTTGTGGGAATTGAGTCATTGGTCACGAGACTGCTACATTCCCATCTCTCTTTGTCATGCCACAGTTGGACGAAACCAAAAGTTATACTGCTTGAGATAAAATACATTTCTTCCATTTCCCAGCTGAACTTACAGGCAGTGGAAACTGGTCCTTGGAAAGTTTTCTACCACATCAGAGCTCTGATGCAGCCAGGCACTTTTAGATTCTGATCCTAACCCCTCTTTTTCTCTCATCTCTTTCGAAGGCAAATCAAAATATGTTTTTGAACAGGAATGGCTCTGTTCATCTTGCAGATTGCGGTCTAAACTTTTTCAATGTTCAGCCAACTCAACTGCTGAGAGCAGCAAATAGATAGATAGATAGATAGATAGATAGATAGATAGATAGATAGATA